AAATATGTGTATACTGGCCAGCTGATGTTGCTTATCCAGTTACACTGTTTTTCAGTTACAATGTCCCATCTATTTCCTATCAAACAAACATCCCTTAAACCATCAACGAGTAAACATCATTTCTAAAAAATAACCTTAACTATTCGCATGTAAACGATGCTATAAACTTTATCACTTACGTGATGTTTCAAATTCGATTAATCAGTTTTCCCTTACATGAGCACCTGTTTCAATTTTAACGGATAGTTCTAACCTTTGACTACTGAATTAGTACGTTTCGTTATATACCATCCATACGAAATATAGGTACTGATAATAATTACTGCTAACAGATTTATCACGAGAATGTACTCCATATTGACGACAATATTCCTCAGGGGCGGACGTATTTCTAAACGCGCTACTCAATACAACACATAGCCCTACTAACTCCCTAACTCACAACATTCTATTAGTGACTATTAACAAGTAGAATGTCTATTTGAGGTATAGAGAATACATTTATTAGTGATTCGACACAAAATACAAAATCAACGGTACTGGAAACCACTTTCTTCAGCAACGAATCCCACGAGGTCACTGGAACTACAGATTATCTAAAAAAGAAAACAAGGGTTCACAGGATGTATACATGAATATAACTACCAATATAATATTAACGAGAGAGCACAGTAAGAATTAATGAAAGTTTATATCAATGTGCGATTACATCAGTCACTATTTTTGACACAAGTGGATATTTAGACGAAGTAATAAGAAGACGTAATTTGTCTGAGTCGTGTAGTGTTGTATTTGTGCAACACATTTTGAACAATCTGGTCACGCATGGACTTGTTATAGGAATACATATGAAATTAATACAGTTAAAAGTTTAGAAAATAAATTTAGGTGGAATTAAAACCACATATTGGAGGTCAAAATAACAATGAAGATCATTAAACCAAATATCTGAGGTACTAGTACATCTACCCTGACTAGTATCAAAACGAAGTTTAACAAAGGTTTCGTGTGATGACGAATAGTCTTGGAATTCACAAAAGTGGTTTAAACTTCCTAATCACACTTCGGCTTCCACAAACTTTAGGATGCAATCCAAACACGTTTTACAGATAGGTTTAAAAATGTGCAAACGTCAGTTTTATGTCCTGTCCCTATAATATGTTTCGAAATAGAGGAGCTGGGACCCCATTAATAACTTCTGAAGATTCTGTTGCTTCTGGAGGCATTTAGGAATATGATGCGTAGCCCTTACTTGCAGAAATCGATGAGCCTTCCCTAAATGGATACAGCAACCACTTCTAAACCTTACGTCCATAGCTTTAAGAGATGTCGGACACTACTTCTACGTGGTTTTAAAATAATTTTGTGAATTAACTTCGAACAAGCGCGAATAATGTGGCGTCAGGACAATGACAAAATCGGAAGTTTATGAAACCAAACTCACTAATAGGACAAAATGACGCACACGTCAGATGTCTTTACGTACCTGATCACGAGGATGGTATTGAAATCCACCAAATTACTAAAATGTTGCAGTGTGCATTTAACTCATTTAAAAATTTTGGCAGAAAACACTGAATGTTGTAAGTGATCGTAAAACATATTGCAATTTCTGCCCACTTGTGAACACTAATTTTCGCTTGTATCTATGCATTCTATTGACTTTCAGCTATCAAAACACCACAAAAATTGCGGAATAATTTTTCCTTCACGTTCCCAGTGGAGCATAATGCCCCAAGCCAGTGGCTTGAAGTTTCTGTAGCAGTGTTCATTTTTAATTTTACAGGATGGGGTTGCTAGCCTCATGCCCAACCTTTCCTCTTTACCAGCATTATTTCTGGCTCAGGGAGGTAAAGGAGTGCGCCGGCCGGGAATCGAACCCCGGACCATGTGCATGGTCGGCTAGCGTCCTAACCGCTATACCACCGACGCACAAAAGTGCGGAAGGATGCAATAATTTGATATCAACCATATTCTTCGATTCCTGCAGCACTAATAGGTACTGCACAATAGCTGATAGGGAAATTTGAGATCGAGTACAAGTTTCCGCCAATCTGCAAAGAAATTTATCGAATGACAGTCGCTGAAATATACGCGAAGCTTACTCGGTATGCCAAAAATCACTGCATGAACCATGTATTTAAGCATCCTGTTACACAAGCAATCAGTAAATGCTCAAGAACAATTGTCGGCCAAGTCTCGTAAACCGTTAATGCCCAGCTCTTGCTACGCTCAGGCTCACGCTGTTCCTTGAAGTTTTTCAGAAACGCTTAGTAATAACGGACGAAAAAACCAAAACACCGATTGGCCGCTCGAGAATTCTTTATTGTAACACCAACATATAAAAAATAATTCCACTAAGGTCTGTGAACAAATATTACAATAATAAATCACAAGATTACTTCTGACGGTTTTCTGCTGACTTCTTTCTGAACAGCGACCGATGAGACGATGACTGTCGTATTGATGCCTCCGTGAAAATTGGGGAAGTTGGTTTTGAGCAAACAACCGTGAATTGATCGTTCAATCTTCAACTACATTGACAACAATATCGAACAATAATTTTCATATAAATTCATCCAAGAAGAGCAAAATAAGCACAGAAATCGCGTCTACTGCGTTTGCTGGATGACTAGCTACAACTCGAATCAACGAAACCGCGCGAATGCCGTCAGGGTTAAGCCAGAGGCGCCACTTCAAATAGGGGATATGCCTTAGCGACGCCCTAAGTTAATGGGATGTTTTGATTAATAGGAGTAAAGGTGGGACAGTAAAACCGAATGCATAGACAAACAAAGTTAGCTGGCCAGTATATTCATATTCCGAAGTAAAAGACAATTGAGCAAAGTGTTTCGAAGGCAAGAGTAGAGCAGTATCCCGAAACTACTACTTTACTGAGTAACTAAGGGTTGTCTTTGAATTAAGACTGAAAGTAAATGGCTTGTGTAAAGACTGGGATTATTATTATTATTCAAATACGTTAAAATAAGTGTATCCAAATACTGTTTCACTTATAATCCTGTCTTTTGAGTAACTTAGCAACATGGTGTTTGCTTTTAGCTTTGGATTACCAAGTAAGGGTGGAAATCCCTAGGAGTTTCTAGATAAAATGAGTATCTTGTTGCCAAAGAAATATATTCTATTCTAGAAAATATTTAGATCTGACGTTGTTCTCCCTACTACCATAACTACAGCCACAAAGTGGAGCTAGATCTACCGAAGACAGTGTGATCCTGACTTATAGATATCGTAGTGTACTGTGAGGCAGAAACTATATCCATATGATTACTCATGACGTCAGTTTAGAACAGAGTAACTACGGTTCGCAGCCACAGGACACACATCGTCATAATCCATTCCCGTTCAAGTACATTATGCCGTCGATATTGCGTACGTCGCAAGAGATTCTTAATGCAAAATTTCATTTAAAAGCATATAATGAACATATCTCGTCACTTAACCAACATAGCAACTGACTGCTAGGCTACAATCAGTGGAGATGTGCAATAAAGCCTCTCTCCGTCCTCCGTTAATTAACTAAATTTAGAAGCCACATATCTTAGGTGAAAGAGATTAACTATTGTTTCTGCCTTGGTCAACCAAAAATTCTTGCTCAATATACCATCATGGAGAACGATCTAAATTCCATTGAGTCTGCTAGCTTTTACATGGTGATCATTTTGTTTTGGGGTGCGATAGGAAAGCATCTGTGACAGAAGACCCCATCATGAAAACCTCATTTTTCTTAACTATACGAACAGAGACAATCTACGCCATAGGCGACGCCTCACTTCTATTCCTCTTCCGAACTTCGTAGGAGGTGGCAGAAACCCCTTAAATCAATGTAGATGCTGGTAATTCACACTCATTCACTGATCTATTCACCCTTAAAATTGAAGAAAAACATTGTAGTCGGCCAACTAAATTGTATTTGATTCTGCTGTTGTTCGAGTCCCAGCCTTGCTCGGCGTAGAAGCGTTGTCAGAGCACACCAGTTTGACTGAATGCCTCTTCACAGGAAGTTAGCGTGCCCAACAAAGTCCAAGTGATAAGTAACAGACTGGTGTAAGATCTCGTCGAAATGAGTGAAATGCATACAGACGAGTTTTATTGTTAGTTCACTAGTTAGAGTACTACCTAGAAATACCAGTTATTTACTAAATAGCACAAAGAGCCATTGTAACACACATATGTAAAATGAATGAAACATTCTGTAAACGAGTCCAGGCAGAGCAGCTTGTGAGGAGATGAGTGCGACCTCTTTACACACATCCCTACAAGCGCGGTTCAGCCTGTGAAAGCTTGTGAAAATTGGGTGACGTGTGATTCACTAAATTTCGCTCTATCAGACAGAAATTTTAATTCATGGATGCTCCTAAATGTCACAGCTTGTGCACGTGTGATTACAGAAGGCTCTAAGGTCATCTGAAAAGATTGCCGAGTTGCCCAGCCTTTTAGGACTTTATTTACATCAAGTTCGCACGATGTCACTCACTATGGACTGAGGGAAAACCAGCATTATTCAATTAGTGACTTGTACCCAGTATATGATGTTTTCCAAATCATTCGTTTATCGAACATTTTATGAAACTTTTTTAAAGCCAAGATACATGCCATATGCAGTGAGAAATTTGTCACATTTGCATGAGACACTCTCAAAGCAGTCTAGCATGTGGATAATATATGGACTACCTTTTGAGATACAGAGATTCCATGTGACCAACAAGCACATGGTCGTCAGCATACTTCATAGTCACACTTTATCCAGCAACTTTATGCAAGCAGTGCTAATAGTAACTTCAGACATGTGAGACTGAGCCATGTATGCCCACAGATGACCATGCATGATGACTTCTAAACGTCAGACTACCATCCTTTGAGAAGCAAAGATCAACGCATGGACCTCTGAAAATACTCCGGACATTTCATTGGAGGACTTTGGATATGTCAAGTTTTGTCTACTTTAATGTTTTGCAGCCCTCACGAATACATGAGAACCCTGAAAAATGGTTGCATTCTATATTCATATAATATATTGCACTGCCGATTTGATAAGTATTTCGGCGGTGCTACTAATATTGACGTTACAGTTGGTGGCTATGGCGGTTGTTGCGCATAAGGAGCTTTCGCCTACAAGGTTTATTGACGGGATAGGTATTATATCCTTACTAATTAATAAACGCAATAGATGTAAATAGTGAAGATTATATACGAGAATTATTAAGGCCACCGGATATCAAGGAGGATGTTAAGTTAATGCAAGAACGTAGTCGAGTTTCTCTTATATTGAGGTCCGCATACTTCCGCAAAGAGTTGGAAAAAATTGTGGCATCGTCTCTTAAATCTGGTTGCCTGAACGCTAACGTTATCGCACTCAAGCAAATCATCGACTACTTGACGCCACAAACACGTCTTGGATCTTCTGCCTTCACGAGGGGTATGTTTTAGGACTACACTTTTAAATATAAAATGTTCTTTAAAATAAGTTTCAAAATGCGAGTCAGTACGCACCATGAAGAGAAGTGTAGTCACTGTGGTAGTTGATCAGTAAGTAATAGAAAATTAGCTGCTACTTATAGGTCGGTCGTATACACCTGGAGGTTTGATTGGCCTGAATCAAACGACTATAGTTTTTGTAAATAACTTTTATATTGAAAGGTGAAACTATCTAGTTAAATGAGCCAGAGCGTTCCCGCTATAAATCGAGGTCTTGACAGTACTGCCTAATATCTTGTTATTGCTTGATTCTTAAGTCATTTAAGGTTCACTTTGGAGTTTACCTGAAAATAATACATCCTAAAGCCCTGTCTAATTTTTTTCGCGAGTTAAAGTAGGTCCTGTATAGGCTCCTCATAGACGTTTGAGGCATCGTAGCTCACATTTGCTTGTATCATTGTAATTATTTTCGAAAACTGCTGATATGGATGGCCTTTCTCAAGTACGATCCTGGCTAAAGTAATGCTAAGTTGACAAGGAGTTAAAAGGCCCCGGTACACAATATGAACCCAGACCTTAGTTTCTGAGCTGTTTATGGATATATAGATTGCCAGTTGTCTGAGATTCTCTATAGCGTAGTTCAGAATCCTTTACTCCGTCATTAGTATTTTACATTTCTCCTGAAGTTCTAAGTTCTACCACTTAATTGTGCAATTTCACAAAACCATATCCCTCCAATGTATTACCACTCATCTATTTAATGTACTGGTGTGAATTAAGACAAAGTTTGTACATTAATTCATGAAGTGTCGAAATCAATATTGAAAACGAAGATATCTGTCATTATTGAAATTAATGTGCGTCGGTAGCACAGTGGTGAGGACTCTCGCCGACCATGCACATGGTCCGAGGTTCGATCCCCTGCCGACTCACACCTGATATCTATGGTCGGCCTGCAAAATTTGGGCTACCAATATCCACGCTGAAAATTCCATACGTGTACCGAAAATACAGTGTGGAATCAAGCTTTAAATCAAAAATAAAAAAAAATGTAATATGCGCTCAAAACACAGGTAAGCCTAGTCATTGTTGCGACATTCGTTTCTCCTAATTTTGGAACTCCGTAATTTCCCTTTAGAACTACATATTCAGTATGAGGGCGATACCGTTTTGAATCCCATTGATCAAGCAATCCAGAGGCGACGTCGCATTTGATAATTTGTGTATAGTTGGTGTAGTAGCATACAAACACTAAAAATTCACCACAGCTACATTATCAAAATATTACGAAAGAAAACAGCTGGTAATAATGCATTAGAAACTGACTTTTCGAAAACTAAACAGTTAGATTATGTTTAAAATTGTCTTAAGCCTCATGCAATAATTTAGTTTGTGGTAGTTTAGCAATAAGGAAAATCCTTTTTTCACGCAAAATCATACTGGCTCCTTTAAGTTTTTCAAATAACAGGTAGTTATCTAGAACTGTAATGCAACAGTTCGTTATTTGAGGTATCGCGTAAAACCTAATACTTGGCCACATTTATATGCTCCTGTGATTCTTTGCGCGTGACTGTCAGTGCCATATACGTTAGTTTCTTTTTTTCTGTCGATTTCAGGTGCTACTGTTCCTGTGGTACCAATTAATGATTTACGCACTGTCCAACTGGGTAGCTACGTTAAAGGAGAGCGCCTTACACGATGCAAGTTAGCATCTGTTTATCGATTAGTTGATATTTTTGGATGGAATACAGGAATCAATAATCATATTACGGTTAGTTTTCCTGATTGCTGTTGATTTTGCAAATGCTGTGTATGAGACCTTTTTGTATAAGCACGTATACATCATTTAAAGAAAAGTAGGAGAATGCTGGATAACTATTGTTCTGCTAGCCAGTTAACTTTTAGTTATACGAAGGATCAAAATAATAATTTCCGTCATTATAAATATAAAGTGACAAAGTAAAATTCTTGTCACTAAAGTGTACCACTAGTTTTCTTGGAAATGAAGTCACAACGTTTTCATGGTGCACAATAACAAAGTATAGATTTTTCCAAAAAACCTGAAAATTGTTTGCAAGCCATCGTACAGATTGACATTTGAGATCCTGGTTATCTGTGTAAGTTAAAAATTGACAAGGAAACAAATTGAGACAGCCCAAGGATATTCAAGACCATCGCAAACATTATTATCATTATCTGTAGTGACAATTACTAGTGGTCACTCCTAATGTTCTCTGTTTGTGTCGTGGGCGCTGCCTATATGTGGTTGGTAACAGTTCGTACCAAAGAACTTCATTTATTTCTAAGACTGCATCAGGCCTAATAGACAGATTGCTGATTAGATCTCAGCACCGACAAAAAGTCTCTTGCAGCGTTCGCCAGGTTGTGTCGTTTTTGGCGTAAATGTGCTGTTTGGTTATCGATCAAATGAAATGTGTACTGCGCAGGGCTTTTGCTGTGTTTCTTTACGAGTGTAAAGTATGACTGTTAGAGTGGAAAGATGTGAAGAGGCTAGCTGTTTTTAGCAATGGGTGTTAGGTGGAATAATGGAGTGAGTAGTACTGGGGTTGGGTGTAGTGTCAGAAATGAAGGGAAAGTCAAGTGATGAGTTTGTTGAGCTGCATTGAGATGGCTAGACAACGTGTTACGCACTCTGTCATCACTGTCGGGCAATGCTAGCCGACATAGGATTAGGTTGGGATATAGTCTGAGGTGGTCACATTCTTGAAGTGCTTGATAGTTGGTTTGAGTCACGTAGGGAACTGCACACTGCGTTAAGAACAGATGGCTGTAGACTATCGGTGATGGCGTTCACTTTTCATGAACTCTAAGATCAAATTTGCTCTTCATTATTCTTCATGTAATTATCCTTTCTCCCGCGAATTTCCGTTTATTTTAGTTTCTTTGGTTGTCCTTTTTTATCTCTACTTTTTACTTGCGCTTTAGGGCTTGTAGCAGCTTAGATTGCTGCACTTCTGAGCAATCTGGTTTCCTTTATTCCTATTTTTCTGTTGCAGTTAGCAAAGAATATTACTCACTGAGGTTTTCTTTTAGGGATGTCCAAACTATGACTAAATTAACAACGTGTACAGAAATTTGAAACATTATTTACGTAAAAGCCTCCAAGATCAGCTTATATGAAAGCGCTTATTAGGGTAGTATTTGTGATTTTTGTGTTATGGATTACAGGACACTTACTACGTGGTACCAACCCATAAGGCTATTCAGTGTTGCACTAATCAATGGTAATGTAAATTAACTGACTAGCCTTTCTACTTGTTCATCACAACTTAATGCAGTATCTATCACAGTGCTGAAGTTGTATTTATTCTCTGTATTCTAATCGTAATGTATCACTTTTAATAGGCTTTCTTTTATCTTGTTTTGACTTATCCTACAATTCCCATAATGTCTTTGTTTCATCATCTTCCTTGCTTCTTCCCATTTTATGAGGTGTGAGATATAGCTACTTCTGTTAATAAGCAATAATACAGATTGCTAAGTTGAAAATGACTGTATGACTAATCCTTTTTATTTTCGTGTATTAATTGTCTTAGGCCTGATTTCAGGGGTAAATTATGGATTATATCTTTAGGTATGATATGCGCTTTGCGTTTAAGTGCGATGTGTTTTTGCAAGATTGGCAAGTCCGTCTGTCTGGATTCAACATAGAACTTGGCACCGAAGTGCAGCAGTTTGAGTTGCCACGTTCCAAATAGCACACAACGTGTCAAGAACCTGCACCCACCCCCTCACGTGAACCGTTTGGAGTTATAGATATGTTCATGTGTCTAGGTATTTGTGGATGCTTGAGGAAATGTGTTGGATAAGACCTCTAACGGCACAATGAACGCCAGGGTAGCACATACCAACTTAAGCCACTCTTAGGACGTTCAAGATGGTTCGTTACGCGCAGTATTGCTCTAAACCTATCTAAACTGATTTCTCTGAGCTGAGGATTAGCGGTGACTGCGTGTTTGATTCTCCTCAACTCATAGAATTGTTCCCATCCGGTGGCATCATCGTGTAAGTAATTCTGTTGTCTGGCAGCACGTGTTTGGACATGTTGGGAATCATCTTTCATTAAGTATTACCATCCTGGGACACTGGCTTCGATGGCTTGGGCGTGTGCCAAGAAGATCCTCTCTGCGGCTTCGATACCTTTTGCTGTTTGCTAGCTCTGGGACTAGATGGACAAAGCGGAGGTGGTCCGTCTATGACGAGGTGCTCTGGTGTGAAGAATAGTAGTATTGGTGCATCATGACATTCCCCACGATCGGTCCGGCAGGTGATCCAAATCAGTGGCTTAAATGACAATTTCTACAGTTTCCTTTTTCCCTCCCTTTCTGAAAGTAACATGAAGTTATGGATCATTCTTTGAATGTTCCCTCTCGGATATTATCCCTCATCAAATCCGCCCATAATTAACGTATATTGTTGCTCTATTGTTTTGTATGGTGCATCTGTTAGTGCCCATATTGTATTAAGTTTGTTTTAATAATCATAGTTCAATACAGTATACGTGATGTCCACTGTTATATTTCCTCTGGGACTTAAAAAGAATTATCTTTCAATTCTGTAGTTGCTGTTTCTAATCAGTAGTTACCTGTGTTACGAAGGTGACTGAGTCTTAGAACGATGAGTGGTGCTTGAATCTTGAAAAGACGAACGAACCAAGAATTTAGGCTTTATTCATTTTACAATGAAGCCGGAATGGCTTAAACGTATAAAGGGGAAAAAGAGTGTTAATAGCGGTAGAGATATGAATATGATTAGATACGTATTATAAGAAAAGTTCACAACATTCACTGCGGCTTGAAAAGGAATGAGGCATTATGTCACGCTTCTCTGGTACGCAAATTGTAAGGCCGTACACGTTGTTGTTTTTCCAAAAGAATACGCCCGTTGTTCGTTTCAGTTGTACTTTCTTCAAGGAGAATATTAGGATCAGTGGTCGCATCCCCATTTACTTGTTGCTCAGGAATTGCGTCGCCCTCCGGTATTGAATTTTCAACTTGATCTATATCTTTGCCTTTGGGTGCCAGATGATGAAGAGCAACTGTATCTTCACGTCCGTTACCGAAGCGAACGTGAGCAAATTGCGGGTTACAATTCAATAGCTCCACCTCTTCAACCAGAGGATCGAATTTGGACTGACGAACACTCCGCCGGAGAAGTACAGGTCCTGGTACAGTGAGCCAAGTAGGAAGAGTTGTCCCAGATGTCGATCTTCGGTTATAGGTAAACAGTCGTTCGTGTGGCGTGGCGTTCGTTGCAGTACAGAGCAAAGATCTGATGGAATGCAAGGCGTCGAGTAGAACCGACTCCCATTGTGCCGTTGGTAGACCCCGCGATCTTAATGCTAGAGTGATGGCACGCCAAAGTGTTCCATTGAGGCGCTCGACCTGCCCATTGGCTTGAGGATTGTATGAGGTAGTACGACTGGTTGCTACGCCTTTCTCCAGAAGAAATGCCCGTAATTCGGTAGACATGAAAGCAGCGCCTCTGTCGGTATGTATGTAAGAAGGCATACCGAAAATCGAAAACAGTTGGCAAAGGCAATTCATTATCGTTTGAGACGACATGTCGGGGCAGGCGAATGCAAAGGGGAATCGAGAATATTCATCGATCAGCGTGAGCAGGTAGTGATTGCGGCTAGTTGACGGTAGAGGTCCTTTAAAGTCGATGCTCAACCTTTCAAAAGGTTGGGTTGCTTTTATGAGTTTGAAGTTAGAGGGATTGTAAAATTGAGGCTTTAACTCACAGCATGTCACGCATTTACTGGTTACATTGCGCACCTCGTCAAGGGAAAATGGAAGGTTTCTCGAACGTACAAAATGCATCATTCGAACAACTCCAGGATGGCACATAGAGTCATGGAGAAATTTTAAGTCGCACACTGACTTCAAGGAACCGCAGAAACTACGGGAAAATGTATCAGCAGCTTGATTATCCCTTCCAGGACGATAAATGATGTCATATTGATAAGGGGATAGTTCAATTCTCCAACGCATTATTTTATCGTTCTTTATTTTGCCTTTATGAATCTTGTCAAACATGAATGCTACTGAACGTTGATCAGTGACAAGTTTGAAGTGATTTCCGAGAAGGTAATGCTTCCACTTACGAATTGCTTCAACCACGGCATAGGCTTCTTTCTCAACCGATGAATGATGTTTCTCACTTCGAGAGAGGCTTCGAGAAAAGAAGGCGACAGGTTTACCATTCTGGTTTAATGCAGCTGCAATTGAGACATCTGAAGCATCTGTTTCAACAACAAGGGGTGCTTTCGGATCAACTACCACAACGACTGCACGTTCTAAGTCGTCTTTCAGCTTGTCAAAAGCATTTCGAGTTTCGATATCAAGAGGGAAAATCCGATTATTTACTAATGGGTGGATTTTATCTGAGAAGCGAGGGATCCACTGTGAATAATAAGCAAATAATCCAACGGCCCGTTGTTGAGATTTGATATCCGTGGGTGGTTCTAGATCACGAAGAGGTTTTAGCCGATCGGGATCTGGTTCAATAACCCGCTTTGAAACTTTATAACCGAGTAATTGTATGCTTCTGCTTGAGATCACACTTTTGGAATCATTAAAGGTTATTCCATAATTGCGTGCTGCTTCCATAAACTTGTTTAGATTTTTGTCGTGTTCCTCCTGAGTTTTGCCGCAGACAGTGACAGTCAGCGAAAGCAGCTCGAGCTTTTCGGATCCGTGCTGAGATTTCATCGCCCATCAGTCCGTTGGTGCTAATACAACTTTCCAAATAGGTGAATTGGTCAAGATGTTCTATCACTTCACTCCCTATCGCTAAGCTAGGAGTTGACGTGGTCCAGTCCTGTAGCAGCATCTTACATTTTGTAGGGGCGAATCGCATGCCAAAATGTAAGGTGCTGCTACAGGACTGGACCACGTCAACTCCTAGCTTAGCGATAGGGAGTGAAGTGATAGAACATCTTGACCAATTCACCTATTTGGAAAGTTGTATTAGCACCAACGGACTGATGGGCGATGAAATCTCAGCACGGATCCGAAAAGCTCGAGCTGCTTTCGCTGACTGTCACTGTCTGCGGCAAAACTCAGGAGGAACACGACAAAAATCTAAACAAGTTTATGGAAGCAGCACGCAATTATGGAATAACCTTTAATGATTCCAAAAGTGTGATCTCAAGCAGAAGCATACAATTACTCGGTTATAAAGTTTCAAAGCGGGTTATTGAACCAGATCCCGATCGGCTAAAACCTCTTCGTGATCTAGAACCACCCACGGATATCAAATCTCAACAACGGGCCGTTGGATTATTTGCTTATTATTCACAGTGGATCCCTCGCTTCTCAGATAAAATCCACCCATTAGTAAATAATCGGATTTTCCCTCTTGATATCGAAACTCGAAATGCTTTTGACAAGCTGAAAGACGACTTAGAACGTGCAGTCGTTGTGGTAGTTGATCCGAAAGCACCCCTTGTTGTTGAAAAAAAGCTTGAGCTGCTTTCGCTGACTTACACCATCTTTGGCGTAGGCGTGACATCCGGCTATCAACCAAGGGACGTGTGTACTGCTCATCAGTTCGCTCCGTCCTTCTCTATGGCTCTGAAACATGGCCAATACGAGTTGAAGACATGAAAAGGTTGACTGTTTTCGATCATAGATGTCTGCGATCTCTGTCTCACGTTAGGTGGTTTAATAAGGTAAGTAATGCTGACGTTAGGCGTAGAGTGTTGGTCAGAGAGGGAAAATCAATCGACGAAGCTATAAAGTTACATAGACTGAGATGGCTAGGTCACGTGGTGCGCATGCCTAACCATCGCCTCCCCCGACGGGCACTACTAGCTGATATAGGTGCAGGTTGGAAAATAGTAAGTGGTGGCCAAACAAAATCATGGCTTCATCAATCCATGAAATCCTTGACAGTTAAACTGAGTCAGGTAGGAAGATGCAGACTTCCGGGTTGGGGCCCTCGGGACTCTAAGAATCAATGGCTGGAGACAATAGGTGACATGGCTCAAAATCGTTGTCAATGGCGCAGATGTATTCAGTCTGTGTAATCTTTCATATTCCTTTCTACCATTACCCATTCTGTTTCACTCTTATACTTGTCAGACTGTATTGATTCTCTTCACTTATCTTCTTGTCTACCTCTGTGTGCTATTTGGAAGGTGGCAACTCGAACTGCTGCACTTCGGTGCCAAGTTCTATGTTGAATCCAGACAGACAAACAGACAGTGACATTGTCAATGTAGGCAAACGTGCTTGTGAGTTGTTCTTTACTGTTCAATTCATCGATAATGCGTTGAAAACAAGCTACGCCATTGGTAACACCAAAAGGAATTCGGCAAAATTGGTAAAGTTTCCCACAAGCCTCGAAAGCAGTATATGGTTTATCTTCGTTCCTTAGGGCAATTTGATGATAAGCATTCTTCAGATCAAGAGTGCTGAAATTGTCATATTGTGCGATTTTTTCTATCATTTCGTCGATCCTAGGTAATGGGTAAGCATCCAGAAAAGTGAATCGATTGATTGTCTGACTATAATCAACTACCATCCTCTTTTTATGGCGTTCGTTTGACGTAACAAGAACTTGAGCTCGCCAAGGAGAATTAGAAGGTTCAATAACACCTTCTTGCAGTAATCGGTTGACTTCGGTAGAAATAAAACTTTCATCTTCACGAGAATAACGCCGGGATTTTATTGCGATCGGTTTACAGTCTTTTGAAAGATTTTCAAACAGAGTGGGCAGGTCGACGCGAACACAAGGTAGACCACAGAGAGAAAAAGGCGGCTTTGATCCTCCAAAAGGAATCTCAATGTGTTTGTGAAGTTTTAAAAAATCATGTCCAAGAAGGACGTCTGCACATAAATTATGAAGAATGGAAAGTTTGAATAGATCATAAGTATGGTTTTTATAGCAGATGGATAGAAAACAATGTCCTTCAGTATGACTAGTAAGATTCGTACTTGCCATTGTGATTCTATTTCGAGACTTATGGACTTTCCAGTTATACTTACGAACAACTGAGGAAGAGATGTAGCTCTCACTGCTTCCGGTATCCACTAGAGCTTGCATTGACTTCCCATTGACAGTAAGCTGCGTAACAGCATCAGTGAGACTTTGAGGTGCTGAAGCCACAACGAGAGATGAAATTATAGAGTTAACTGAAGATGGACTTTTTTATGTAGATGGCGCAGACCTGCAAACCTTGTGAAAATGTCCTTGCTTGCCACAAGCTTTTCAAATTGCATCACGGGCGGGGCATTTGGAACGAGGATGTCTACGATTACCACAGAAAAAGCATTTGGATTCAACGGCAGCAATGGTTGTTTCATTGACGGAGGGTTTGGAATCTGATGAATGAGGTACATCATATAAAGAAATGGACGCGCAAGGTACCAGGATCGTTGTATGACTGCGATTGTTGATGTGCCATCTCTAGAGCTCGTGCTTGATCGTATGCCGCTTTAAAAGTTAAAGTACGCTGTTCCAATAGCCTCTGGCGTATCATCGAAGACTGTATACGTGAGATGAATGAATCACGTAGTGATTCGTTACGATGTTCTTCGGCTGTAACCGCTCTGAATGAACAATCTGTAGTCAGCGACTTGAGTCGACGAACAAACTGATCCAGATTTTCGCCAGATTCTTGTTTACACGTTGCTAACAAGTGTCGAGCAAACACTTCGTTGCAAGGCTGCATGTAGAGACTCTTGAGAGTGTCGATAGCTTCTTCGTATGTTTTGCATTCAGAAATGCATTCGTATACAGAAGTAGAAATATGATTGAAGAGAATATGTAGTTTCTAAGGATTTTCGGATCCCATTGATTCAATGAAGTAGGAAAAAGTCGCAAACCAGTGATCCCACTTCTTAGCAGCTCCAACTGCGTTAGGTTCTACGTCGAACCGATCAGGTCGGAAAAATCGTTCCATGAATATTGTAAAATGAATAAATTGTTACGAAGGTGACTGAGTCTTAGAACGATGAGTGGTGCTTGAATCTTGAAAAGACGAACGAACCAAGAATTTAGGCTTTATTCATTTTACAATGAAGCCGGAATGGCTTAAACGTATAAAGGGGAAAAAGAGCGTTAATAGCGGTAGAGATATGAATATGATTAGATACGTATTATAAGAAAAGTTCACAACAACCTGATATGACGATTTTTTTATTGTAGGCTCGTATTGCCCGGGACACTGATGAATACCTTATAAACCCCATTGGTTTACTATACAATGAAGTCACTGCGTCTTCTCTTGTGAAAATCAACCTTGAAGGTAATTGATTTTAGTTGAGCCTAATCGTCATTGCAATTATTATTTTGGTTCTTGTAATACTTCCTCTCTTTATGTTACCTTGTGATGCTACACATTTTCTCGGACTGAATCAGGCAAAGCCAGGTTTGAAAATGGATCTTTTTCCTTGTACACCCTTCGCTTCAGTCAATGAACTAAATCTTTACTTAGGTAAAAAGATAAATGCAAGCTACTAATATGGATTTACTAAAGTGGTAATTTAGCGATGTATATTTGAAGTTAAACTGCATTACTTTCAGTTAGTTGATTTTATTATGTTAGTCTCAGATGTTAATGCAATTTATCACCATCTGCATCCAAAGTAACTGGATTCTGCAAAAAGTATTGTTGAGTCCACTTTGATAACTACATCACCGTAAATACGAATTGGAGTTTTGAAGTCTGCTTTGTTGGAGACTAGGTATATATATACATATATAACTATTTGTAGTTCTCTTTATTAGTGGGGTGATTCTTGATAACTCACCTAAATTCATCGCGAAAATCAATTTTTTTCAGGCAAGAGCGGTACTTTAGATGTTGTGGTAAATAAATTTGCGAACACTTTTGTGGTGTGTTTTTGTGAAGGCTGTTTGAAGCATCGTTGGTCAATGCTGTGGACAGTTGCTTACCAAAATCTTAGTTTCTACTAGCTGAAAAACCTGAACCACTTTACTGATATTAGTACATTAAGGGCATAATTTGGTGGTAATTACTGTGATATATTTATTTATTTAGTTTAAGATTGTCTCTGTTTTACAGTCACTGTGAAAGAATATGATCCTTTAAGGATGTTCCCTTATTTAGGTAGGTGTGTAGCTGAAATAAATGGACGGGTTGAGATAACAGCGATTTTCATGATACACGTTTGTTTATGTATACTAGAGTATTTAGTGGTAGCTTGGCACACGTCTTTTGACTATATTTTCTGTGACTTATCGCCTTAGGCAGTCGGCTCTTGACTGAGATTAAAATCCTCTCCATCTACTTCTGCATTAACAACCTTGTGGTATCATAAAGTTTGGTTCATCACTTGGTATTTGAAGATAAGAGCTAAGTTGCTTAAATTTTATGTTTTTCATTTGTAGCAAAGTTTCCTGTACAGATCTAATGTGTATAACTTTATTTATCACTGCGTGCGTAATTTGTTTCACCTGTTGTGGACACTTACTACTTGGTATTTGAATATGAGTAGCAGTATGTTAGTCGGAGATATTTGTCTTCCTAACACTGAATTTTGCTACTTAGTGTCTAATCAAAGTATCCATTACAGTTCCACAGGAAGTCAATCACGAGCCTGAATAGATCAACCATAACATTTCTGGCTGCAGCATTGGGTGACGCGGGTTCTAACCTCAGGAGGGATGTGAGTTCCTTCAAGGTCGCATATACACTAAGCTAATGAGTGCCAACAACCTAATTCCAAGGCTTCCTGCGATTGTCTCCAACTATCTGACAACAATCTAGGGTGTGCCGTGACGGCAAGCCACCTAACATGATGACCGCATTGCAAACTTGACTGGTAGAATTTAATCTACACTGACACCAAGAACGAGACGCGCACGACATTAGTTACTACTTAGTATCCAATCAAAGTAAGGTGGATTTTTATGGGTTCACTGAAAAGTCAGAAACTCACCAAGTGAGCACGTGTTATAATCCATCTCCACTTAAAACAACTTGGCAAGTCATAAACTTATTATCAGCCCTCACTATAGATGTACCTAGTGCATGGAAAAATATATTTTGCTCATCTGAGTTTCAAAATTGTGGTTATTTGTGACATTTACTATCATGTTTATCGTGCCATGTACCTACTAAGTCAGATGGTAATAGTTAACATCTGTAAGTCTAATTAGATCATGCTAGATCTTGTTGATTCGTTTCTCAAGTAACCATGCCTACTTACGTTTTCTTTATTTAAAACTCACCTACTGGTATGACATGTAGAAATTTACCACAAAAAAGTTTGAGAAAACAGCGATATGCCAAGTGCAATTAGAAAGGAATAAAACACGCTTTGATAAATCTTGTAAAACTAATCTCTCATGTCTATTCAGGCTATTCTGTGTATCAAAGCTAATACCATCGTACATGTATAAAGGGGTGTTTGTTCAACTTATATTCACCTTTCAAGTTTAATAACAGTGTTTTGAACTTTTTAATCAATTTGGTATTTTCAAGACTAATGTAAATATTTGGAATTTGTGTACGACATGTAAAATGTACACTGCATACAAATATTGATTTCAACGCATATATATATATATATATATATATATATATATATATATCATTTGACATTAACTTTATTTGTTTTCGTAATAATAATAATAGTTTACCAAAAACTTGACCTTGTGCACTTATGCGCTAAGTTTTACATTGATTCGTCAGTCACTTAATAATTTACTAACAGAATTCGGTATAGTAAATTAATCGTTTTCCAAGTTGATGTGATGAGTATGACAAAGTGAAGTTTTGCAGTTTTAGCATTATGGGAGATTCTCTAGTCGTTTGAACTAATTAAACAGTTTCTTGTTTTTACTGTTTCATACTTCTTTTTTAACAACATCTTTTGTCGTGACCAGTAGGGTGCAGCAGGTCGTGTGTGAGGACAAATACTCACCAAAGACATTGGCTAGCGGTTGCGCTACATCATAAATTGGTAGAAGTTGGAATTCATGGACCGGCCATTGGATCGGGTCCCAGTGGCTTAACGGTCTACGAGCTCGCCTTGTAACCAGAAGGTCCGGTGTCCGAACCCTGGTGGGTGCGTGCTGATGAAGAGTCCCAAACTAGGACGAAACAGCTGTCCAGTACTCCCAGCTGGTTTTCCAATGGTTCTCTAACCAATATCAGCTCATGATGAAATCTTGTAACCAATCAACCAAATTCCTACAAACCAATATTTGAATAACAATGAAATTAGTTAGTGTGTAAGTTTTAAACTGGACTTGTCAGTTTTTAGCTGTTTTCTGGGAGCCATTTTAATGTGAACTCAGTTACCATATTCTGTGGAAATGAAGAAAACTGTACAGTCAGGATACAGGTACTTTGGAAATGATATAGGATGGGGTCACTTAATTGTATTTCTCAAGCGTCACCAGATAATTGAAGAAAAAAAGATATGTTGACATTCTCTACGTTGATAATAAACGTTGTATTTGAATTTCTCAACACTACCAAAGTGACAAAAAGGTGTCCCTTAGTTACCTTAAGATCTGTTTGTAAACCTGTTGATCCATAGTATTTGGTTGATATTGTCATTTCAGGTGAGGATAACAGAGTCTTCTCAATACACTTGGCGAAAATCTAAGTATTTATTTTCATCTTGGAATTCAATTATTGCCAGCTAATAGCTCATGTCAACTATTGTTTGTCGTATGTATGAAAATGTTTCAAGTGTGATGGTTTGCGGGGATTCGATTGGTTATTGGTTTAATCAATAGTTGAAATCAGTTAGAGGACTATTGGGAAACCTGGGAGTACTGGGCAGCTGTTTCGTCCTAGTTTAGGACTCTTCAGTACATACTCATCACTGGGGTTCGAACCCAGAGCCTTCTTCTTACAAGGTGAGTCATTGAACTGGGTTCCAGTGGCTGGCATAGTCTACGAGCTCGCCTTGTAACCGAAAAGTTCTGGATTCGAAAACCAGTGGGTGCGTACTGACGAAGAGTCCCAAGCTACGATGAAAATGTTTCAGTCCTTATGCAACGATAGTTTTACTGAAGTATTTAAAAGTGTAGCTAATGTACTATTCCCTTTTTTGTAGAACTTCATTGTATTTTATACATGGCATGTATTTCTACATTGTGTACAGCTTCCTACTGTAGCGTTTTTGTCCAGTCACCACCACTGTATGTGCTACTAATTAATTTTGAATTTTCTATGTCGTGATTTTCAGTGGTATTTAATTTGAATACGATTTATTTATTTTTCTATCCTTGCGTTACTGGTTTCTTATGGACAGTATAACTCCTCACTGAATATGATTGATGAAACTTTATACAGTGTTTAGTGACGTGAATTGCTTTTGTGCTGTAGAAATGAGTTATGTAGAGACAAAGAAAGTGTTTAATTACCTTTCCTTTAAATACGATGAGTATTTTCATTTCATTAAGTTTTCAGTCAACATTTATTTTGTGTTTTTGTTTCAGGATCTGTTTTAGTTGAAAGTTGTGTTAATTTGGGCATCGATAAGCAGAGTTGGATGTTACATGCAGCTGTTCATAGTGCTAGACCAGATGTCAGATGCATTATTCATCTAAGTACTCCAGCTGCAGTTGCAGTAAGTCCTAGCTACTCCTTATTTTTCTAATCAATTTTGTTTTCCCTTTATTTTAGGGCTGGTTATGTAGGAGGCTGTAGACAGTAGTTATATTTTAATATTCGTTGCAAATATGAAACTTATGAGATTAGTACACCTGGACTGAACTCCCTGCACCTAGTAAATCGGAGGAGTCACTGATCGTAAAACATTAATGGTAGCATTTCTCTTTATTATAAAATCCAGTTAATTCACCCATGGACCCACAAGACCGTTAAGACTACAAATATTCAACTGCCGACGTACACCTGATATCTATGGTCGGCCTGCGAAATTTGGGCTACCGATATCCATGCTGAAAATTCCATACTTGTACCAAAAATACAGTGTGGAATCAAGCTGTAATCAAAAAAATAAAAAAATAGAATTAATGTTTTCAAAGTGGATATTACTTACAATGAAAAAATGGAATAATCGAAAGTAATCACTGAGTTAAAAGTATGTTTATGTATATGTAACTACAAACTGAATTACTCTTGTCAGGATATTGTTTTAACATGCGGAAAGTAGTCAGGTCTTAACGTAATATATAGCGTTACCACTAACTAATGTCGTTTGTTAGTGTTTGTCGACACATTTAGTTTGGTGGACCTCACTGGTCAGAACTGACTAAAACCTCTGTCAACTTCATGATTTGGTCGGTCACTAGCTGGCACTAGATTAATTTCCAAGTGTTGATTTGCGGGGATTTGATTGGTTGTGAACTAAATTCAGTTGTAGAACCATTAAAAACCAGGGAATACTGGACAACACTTTCGACCTTGTCTGAGGCCCTTCAACAGTACACGATCATGACCCCACCAGGGGTCGAACCTAAAACCTTCTGGTTATAAGGTTAGCTCGTTGGTCATACAGTCACTTTCACGGAATCCAATGGTCCATCCTAAGTACTCGCTGTTGACATTGGTGGACGGTCACGCTATCTGTCTCTAATCGGCAGTAGTTAGAATTGAATGTTTTAACGTAGTTTCCTCATGATTATTAGAAAGTTCAATAGTTTAAGGTTTAATTTGCTGCTAATTTTTCAATATACATGTAAACAGAGAAATATATGTAGTCTCTGAAAGTTATTCATTTTATTGACATGAACTTGTGCAAAGTGATGGAATAATAGTGGTATAATAATTGGTAGAGAATAAGTTTTATCATAACTTTTGGCATTGGCTTATCGATTGAGTGAACTTCCCCTGTTATGCATTATAATGTAATGTATTATGTAGTGTACTTATTAATTTGTAGTGTTAGGTAGAAAGTGTCAGTTGATTCTCTACATACAATACAAAATATGGTGTCTGTAGCTTAACATTCAGAATTATCGACCAATTTGGTGTTACTGATGAATTTCTAGGCCAATATTAGATGTTTTTTTAGCTTACCTTTATACAGTTGTAAAATATGTAATATACGTGCCAAGGTTCTACTTATTACAATAACTTTACTTACCATTGTTGAAGCGGCTGAAACGTTCTTATGCACGGTGTAAATTAACACTGAAATTGTCCTGTGGTGCTTACCGTGGTTCTTATATATTCCCTTCACTATCGTTGTCTTTGCAAACGTAATAATCTGACTTCACTTCCTGGCTTTGGATAACTTTCTGTATGAACACTTTTGCTTGTGCATTATTTATTGGTTAGTTGACTGTTTTTGTGTGTATTCGTGTGAATATTTAGTAATATTCTTGCTGGGTGCATTCAACCCAAGGGATATGTATCAGAAAAACTGATTATTCATCGTTCTCTTCTTTTGATCATATATTTTTCTTATCCCATTCTGATAATTTGTCTCCTTTTTTGCCACCAGTATGTTTGGACTGTTTCAGTTGCCAGAAGAATTAAATAGTTTGGTTTAAGTGGCATGTAAAGCCGGAGGGTTCTTTGATAATGACTGTGAACTAGCGACCTATCGCTACCTGGAAATCTGCAGTTCCAGTTGCGAATTCTGTGTACAATCCATAAAAAGGCATACTTTTTCATTGATTGTGTTCATATTGATATGAATGCAAATTATCAGAGTGAGTGGACATTTTGTATCCCCACATTCTGTTGAAAGAATGAAGTCAGTAAAGATTGTTCAATATCCGCACAAGTGAATATTTGTCGTTTGTTTTTTAGGTCTCATGTACAAATGCAGGTCTTCTGCCAATCAGTCAAGAGGCTATGATTTTGGGAGAAATAGCTGTTTATGATCCTTTGGTTACTATGACTAGCATTCAGCAAAATGGAGAAGAAGGTGTCGACAGCCGTAAACATCGTCAATTGAAGGCACAAGAAGCAGAAATTGCCCGGATACTTTCAGAAAAATCTACTAATTGTATGGTTCTGTTGGTACGTAGTTATGGTCTGTTGGCAATGGGACAGTCAATCGAAGAGGCATGGTTCACTGCTTACACGTCTATGTTAGCTTGTGAAGCCCAGGTAGGTTATTGGTCAATATGAATACTTCAATGTCTCACTTAAGTATCCAGCAACCAGTTGAGCTACCCATCAACAAATTTGTTTTGGTTTTTAACCATTAGGATTAAAATATCAGTTTACTAATGTTTGCAATGGCAATCAAACCTCTACCTCAGCTTTATGGACTTTGCGAAGGCCTTCGACAGTGTTGACCGCGAAGTAATTTAGAAACTACTCGAGTACTACGGCGTACCCCAAATATTCATCAACCTTATTCAACAACTGTACGATAATGGCACATGTCAAGTTATTCACAACGGAAAACTCAGCGAGGCGTTTGGAGTAAACACAGGAGTCAGACAAGGGTGATTATTATCATCAATGATATTCCTAATTGTGGTGGACTGGACCATGCGTCAGACAGTGGGAAACGAGCAGACGGATATCCTGGACCGACGTAAAGAACCTAGAAGACCTGGATTTCGCGCGTGGATGATTTATGTTTGATGTCACACAAAATCGAAGACTTACAAGTGAAAACCGATCGACACACTGGTCGAAGAAGCAGCCGGAGAAGACAGGACTCCAGGTGAACATAGACAAGACGGAGGTTATGAAAATAACCAACCAACCAACAACAACAGCAACATCCAACGCCAATCACCATCAACGGGAGGGATTTGAAAGAGGTTACTTCATTCACTTATCTATCATTGAGCATTGTCCCAACAACAGGAGGAACCGACGAGGATGTCAAATCGAGCGAGAATCGGGAAGGCAGGCGAGAAACACATTCATCAACCTGAAACCAATCTGGAAATCTTCGTCACTCAGCCAGCATCAACAATAAAATTCGGTCGGATTTTCAATACAAACAACGTCAAGTCGGTCAGCTCTTCTATACGGATGAGAAACTTGGCGGGTGGGGGTCACAAAGAATATTTCCAACAGCCTGTTGCAGACTTTCACCAACAACTGTCTTCTCTGGATCTATACTAAAGATCAGATGACCGGGCCGGAAGGAATCACCAACAAGAAACTATGGACACAAACAAACAAAACAAGAACCAATCGCCGCCCAACAAATATGCCGATGGATTGGACACTCTCTGAGGAGACCGCTGGGTGACGTCGCGCGTCAGGCCATTGCTCGAGTGGAACCAGGCCGAAAGGGAAGCGGCGAGTGGGTCGTCGCTGGAAGGGTGACATGGAAGAGATCATGTGAAGAGGAGTTGAATCAGTATGGACTAACATGGATGCAGGTGAAAAGTACAGCAGAAGGAAGACAGAAGCAAGTGGAGACGTGCAGTTGAAGCCCTATGTTCCAATAGGAACCCAAGGGAACAATAATAATAATCATGTTTGGCTGATTGAACAGCGACTACAAATTCAGCAACTTGTCTAATTAATTAATGGTCAGAGAATTAATTATGCACAGAATTATTGTTGAGGGCTTGAGAAAAAAAGGTAAAACCAAGCTTGTAATTGCTACCAATCAACCTGTCATCGGTTGATTAGTATTCCGATATCAGCAGTTACAGACCTTAGTAATAATGTAAGATTTTTGATGAGACTCTTTTCAAATAAATATTTTTCTGTCTAAACTGTCTGAATATTTGTATTTATTTGTTTTTATAATTCCTATCTCATTAAAAGAAAATCTAAATTGTTTGTTGTTATCACTTTTGACAACTTCGTCTTAATTTTTTGATGTTGGATCTCAGTAACAGATGCTTTGAAGGTTGATTTACTTATTTATGCTATTGTAGTTACGTTTGGCCAGTATTAGTTTGGATGAATTAGTTATGCCTACTAAAGAAGCACAAGAGGCTGCACATTCAATAGGTCGTACTCCTAGTGCTGTCCAACTCCGAGCTGGTGAAGTTACTGGCAGTTCAGGGTGGAGACGTGGTGAACTTGAATTCGAAGCATTAATGCGTAGATTGGATGCTGCTGGATATCGTACAGGCTATGTATATCGGTTAAGTCAAATTCGTCAGGGATCAACTGCTGTGTCAACTCTTCAACGTCAACCTGGTGATTTTGTGGATTCTACAGTCCAGCAGTCAGTAATGTCTCCTCGTGATGCAGCTGCTCATGTCCGTCGCGCAGCTAGTCTTGGTCGTGGTCTTCGTGGTCTCAAAGATGTAGAGATACCGCCAACAGTATCATCTTTTGCAACGTCTTACTACGGCGACGAGGAGAGTAGGTAAGTGAAAGCTGCTAGTCTTCATCGATGGATTAGATCGTTTATTACTCTGACAGCGATTGAAAACTTACTAACTAATTTTTTGTTCTTTTTTGTAGGGCTGCAGCCGCGGCAGAAATGAAGGCCAAGACACTTTCACTTTCACGTGCACATTGGTTGAGTACACCAAATGCATATCTACGTGAAGAGATTGAAGAGATAGGAACTCCGAATCCTAAGAAGATTACACACTGGACAGAAGGAACAGATGATAATAAAAATCGTACCGGTGGAGTATCTATGCCATTAGTTGATCCTAATCAGTTTGCCCTACAAGGTTCTGATCCGCAGGAGTTTAAAAATCAACAGAAAAAGGTAATGTTGAAGTTTGAAAACAATTCCATTGATAGTGAATTTATTAAATAAGTTTGTGAATATAAATCTTTAGTTCACATATTTCATATGTATTTATTTCAAAATGTAGAATAATTTTTCTACATTCTTATATGATTAGTTGTAAATTTCATTACATTATTGTTACAGTTAACTTTAAACAAATCTCAAAAGACGATTATCTGATAAAAGGTTTAGATTGTTTGCCTGTCTTATTCGATTTATTGGGCAATACGTTCACAGTAGTAATAACTGTGTGAGGTGTAACAACTCAACCAACAACACTTTTGAGATTCAACCTGAAGATTTTCGATATATTTATTGTTACGTAATTATAGAGTCACTCTTATCCTCCTAAACACACCTGCACTAGATATAGCAAACATTTTAATTTAATGGCGTAATTAATATAAATGGAGATTCTTGTTCTTACAATTTCAATTCCTCAAGGAATAACATCAATGCGATATTAACACAGTGCATAAGGAATGCAGCAAATTTGGTGCTGCTGCAGTATGCGTTCGGGAGTTAAAGCTAAACTACCTAATTTCGCCTCTCTTGTGGGTAGCTGTCAGTTTGAATGCTCCTGTGGAACCAGTTATATGGTCCGTACACAATTAGGCGTGTTTATCGTCGGATTTCCGAACACCATCCTTCATAGTGGTGATGAAGTAAGCGACAAACTAAGTTCATTCACAGTTCTATACTGTCTCATCTCTTGGATACAGAACACAAAGCTGGTGTAAACAATGTCTTTAAAGTCATCTACCGTATACCAACTATGTTTCACTTTACCTCAAGAGTTCGGCAATTACATATTGCTGAGGCTGGCTGTTGAAATTTACACTAAGAAGCCTAATGTATGTATCCAAAAGAAGCTAGTTCAAACGCTTTCCTTGGTCATCAAGGCTTTAATGATCCTCACTTTGTTGTAGAGATTTCCTTAATTTCGTTTGATGTTCTATTTACTATTACATTTTATGCTTATTATTACTTATGCATCTTTCTTGAACTGTAGTTTCATCGATCTTACTTAACGAATCAATAGTACTTAAAAACATGAATATTGTTAATGACAATTATTTCGGAATATTCTACATATACATATAATTGTAGAGCCGAAAGAGGAAATAACCGTGAAGAATATTTTCTGCTCAAATTTTCTTTTGTCTTCTTAGCGTCTGAATGAATAGTTTAGCTATATATGCAAATGCAGATTGTTTAGCCTACACATAAATATGTATGTCATTCAAGCTGTTGGCGTGTAGAACACTTCTATTTTACGAATTCTAAAAGTAGTTCAAAGCTGTGAAGAATATTCTTTTGAGTGAAGTATAGTTGAGTCGGTACGTATCTGTAAATACACACATCTGTTAACGTCTATAATTTACAGAGTCTTTCAAATAATTGAAGTAATCATTGCGACAAGATTTGAAGCAAATGTGATATTCTGTTTCAAACTAAAGTATAACAAGAGCAAACCCCACTCCATTATATGGGAGGTGGGGAGTCTAAGGTACCATGTAGTATCATCACCTCTTGCACAATAGGGTGCTATTCACAGTTAATTTGCAAAGATGCTCAAGTTGTCGTTAATTCTTCTTCTTGATATTGTTCCTAGTCTTAATGATTAATATCGCGTCCCCAAAAACTTTATTTCTGTGCTCAGTTCCATATGTATATATATATATCTTTTAACTGAAAGAAATATGCACTTCTGAATTTTCATGAGTAATTCCATACCAGTTTACTTATGAAATACATCCCGTCTTACTGTATTGTTTGATGGGGCAAAAGTGATATTTTTAACATAGCCCTGAATAAAGATAGTAATTAACAGAAGCTTTATGAGCTGACAGTGGTTAGAGAACCAGTGGAAAACTTGGGAGTACTGGACAGATGTTTCGTCCTAGTTTGAGACTCTTCATCGGCACGCACCCACCGGGATTCTAACCCAGGACTTTCTGGTTACAAGGCGAGCTCATAGACCGTTAAGCCACTGGGACCCGATCCATTGGCCCATGAACTCTAACTTCTGCCAATTCACGACATAGCGCGACCCTTAGCCAATGTCTTCGGCATCGATGAGATGCTCACTAGCGACTTGCCCTATTCAGGTAGGTAGTTATCCGGGGTTCTAGTGAGAAGTCGTGACCGGTAGGGTGCAGAAGGTCGGGTATGAGGACAAATAATTGCCGAAAACATTGGCTAGGGGTCGCGCTATATCGTGAATTGGCAGAAGTTAGAATTCATGGGCCAATGGATCGGGTCCCAGTGGCTTAATGGTCTATGAGCTCGCCTTGTAACCAAAAGGTCCTGGGTTTGAACCCTGGTGGGTGCATACTGATGAAGAGTCCGAAACTAGGACGAAACAGCTGTCCAGTACTCCCAGCTGGTTTTCCAATGGTTCGCTAACTAATGTCAGCTCATGAAATCCTGTAACCAACCAAATCCCTGCAAGCCAACACTTAAATGACAGAAGCTTTGTTTGTCAAATGAATGTATGCAATTGAAGTAAGTTAACATCTTTTTCGGTTATTTAGAAAATCTTACTACCTCAATAACAAACAAAGAGAAAGAACTTCAACCATAAAAGTAGGTTTCGAACCTGTGGAATTGCGTCTGTCTAACTGCATGATATATCTCATATTGGTATTGGTTTTGTAGGGATTTTGTTTGATTGTATGGAGGATTTCATCATGGGAGAGAACCACTGGAAAACCTGGAAGTACAGGATGTCTATCTCGTCAGTCCATTTTGGAACTCTTCATCGGTATGCACCCCCTATTTATCTAATAAACGAACTAAAATGGAATTATGTACACCTGTAGTTTTTAAATGTTACATATATATGTTACCTCAATGTCTAGCGTGGTTTTTATTTATTTTCTGATAGGTAAAAGATAAGTATTACAAAGATGTTAGATCTGCTGGACCAAAATCCCGAATTTTACAAGGTATTGATATCGATGATGAAGGAGATGAAACGGATGGCACTGTTTCACCGAAAATGGTCAGTCCCAAAGGCACATTACTTCGTTTAGATCCCTCTAATCCTCCATCCCTTGAACCTGGACATGTTGTTGTAGTCGGTGCTGCTAGTAAGGGGATTATTCATCGCAACCAACGACATAATGCTGGAGTTTATCAATCTGTCTACTCACCAAATCCTTTCGATAGGATGACCGACGAAGATCTTGAGCGTTATAAGGAGAATATTGAACGTAAGGCAAAAGGTTTGCCTTCATTGGAGGAGGAAGAAGCAAGAGCTCGTATAGAAGAAGCTCGACATGCTGCAGAAGTAGCTCGGGAGGCAATGGAGGCAGCTTCTCGTATGGCGGCAGGACAAAAGTGTAAGCTTTCCATACTTAATGTTTTAATTGCTTCAAATCCAGTTTGAATATTCAAACAGTGAGAAAGATAATTTTTCAACTTTCTACTTAACAGAGATGTCAGTTACGTTGAGGCACTAGTGTTCTAACCGGTGGTTATTTGCTGGAACTCTGTCTCTTCCATCATTAGTAGTCTTGACAAAATGTTAAATATAAGGTCTAGTCAATACGACTTTATTTGCGAAGTTAAAATATTTAAGCCAAAGCCAAGGTCTTTCACAAGTTGACCTTCAGTAACCAGTCAGAAACAGGGAATGTTATGAAAGGTCATTCCAAATCAAGTCATACCTGCCTTTTTGGACTTGGAGAAGATAGATACAGCATTTCACTTATTCTCTAGGTACCTTTTACGTAAAGCTATACTGTTAGGTAGGGTTATGGCTCTTTGGATTAAGGTTTAGGATCTAGGATTAGGTCCAAGAACAGTGTCAGAAATATTAACAGATCTCAAAGTACCATGACTTAAAATCACCTAAATGAATGCATCTATTGAGTATGGTATGATTTCTGTAGAGATCATCTGTTTAATGACTTGGCTAGCTGGCTGGTTGGTTTCAACGTAGAACTTTGCACCGATGTGCAACAGTTCTAGTTGCCACACTTCACTCAGCACACAAAGCAAGAGAAGAAAGTGAAAAGAAATGCAAAATGCAGACAGTAAACAGAAATATGAGGCAAATAGTATAGTAATATCGAAGAACCATATAGTTTTATCGGGTATTATAAGTCACAAGGAGTGAATGTATCTGCTACAGCCATTGCGAATGATTTTGAGCCATATCACCAATTTTCCCCAGCCGATGGTGTTTACCAACGTCCCGAGAACCCCAACCAGTCAGGAAGTCTATACCTCCCTACGTGACTGCCTTAAACTAACTGTTGTGGGTTTCATTGACTGATGAAGCCCTGTTTTAGTTTGACTACCACTGGCTCTTTTTCATCCTGATCCTATGTCAGCTAACATCGCCCGTCGGTCGAGGAAGGCGATGGCTAGGCATGAGTAACATATGTCCTAACCATCTCATTCGATGTAGCTCCACAGCCCCGTCGATTGATTTTCCCTCCTTACCTAGCACTCGACTGACACTTAACCTCGATATTGGCCATCCTATTATACCACTTCACACAGGAGATAGAACACAAACACCTATGATCAAAGACAGCTAGCCATCCTTTTCATGTTTTCCACTCTCACTGACCAGGTCTCGTAACCATAAATGAGGGCAGAGTGGATTACTGAGCAGTATACACGCCCTTTGCTCGATAGAAATCCGGATATCAAATCTACGCCAGAGACGGCGTAAACTAGCATGTGCGAAACAAGTCTTCTGTATCCGTGCTGCGATTTCGTCAGCCATCAACCCTCTGGCGTTGACTGATACATCTTCCCAAACAAGTGAAGCGGTCAACGAGCTCTCCCACTTCACTCCTTATTTCGAAGCTAGGAGTCAATGTAGTCCAATGTAGTGACCGGGAGATATTCTTATATCACATAAACGACAACTATGTAGTATGATATCATGTTTGCAACGTTTGTTTTAGTGCATCTGAATTCTGATTGGTTGTCCAAGGTCACTATGGTTTTGGCTGTGATAGTTTAACTTTGCCCCTTGTTTGTGTATTTTAAATCATCCATCTCCCCTTATTCTGTGATCTTCATTGTACGTCTCATTTAAGGTAGTTGCCATCAGTTACGTTATTTGTTTGAATTAAGCTAGTCGACTCGAACAATTGACAGCTATAACGTTTTAATCTGTCTCGTACTTCATGAAGAAAAGATTTAAACTTTATTTCTTTCTTATTGGTTTAAGCATTAAAAGTTAACGCTTTGCTATTTTGTTTGTTTATTTATGGCATTGAGTGATTGACTGACTGACACTGGCCTAGTTTAATGATTTATTAGTTATTATCTCACGTGACAGAAAGTTGTAGAATACAAGAATGCTTTTGGTGTGTGTATGAGTCTTAACCTTAATATTTGTTATTATATTTTTTTTGGCATTTACAAATGAATGTCACATTGTAATGTATAATTTCTGTTAGGTCAGTGATAGGTGTATAGTATGTTGATTACTTTAATTTGTCATTTTCTAATAATCTTTTTTACAAGTTAATCACTTGGCTATTTTCCACGTTTATATCTATTCCAGTAAATGATCTTCATTTAGGAAGCAGTTGTAAACATCGTGCGCAAACAGTAACTGCAGATTATAATAGTACACTGGCTGATTTAAGTACAAGTGTTTTCTGTTCAAGTACAACATCTTGTTTAACTGATAATAATGATAAACCATTCGTCAACCATTCTTATCCTGAAAACATGTTCAATAATGGCAATGTTAATTCACCAGATTATTTCTGTTCACTGAACAGTTCAAGCCTGGAGACTTTATCAAGTAGTGTTTTACCCTTATCAACTGTAACTGGTGTATCCGATGCTTGCTTGTCAAATACTAGAAGTAAATCATGTCTTCGACGTCGAAGTGCTCGTCGTTTTTGGCATTGGCCTCATCGAATTACAAAATCAGTAAATTATAGTCTTATTAAACCAATCCAGTCTCTTGATGTTGTTGACTCTGGATTTATTAATAAAGTAGATTTAGGTTATTCCAAATTTTTTCAGAGATTTACAGCCCCTCTTCTGGAAGTGAACAGCAATAATACTTCTTTCGACACAAGGTCACCAAGTCGTTTATTTTCTCCAACAGTGTTTGAGAAATCCTGGAGTTTCATATCATCTGAAGACACTGATAATACTAGTGCTTCATTAAAAACAATTACTCATCCAGAAATGTGTACAAGTAACTTTGTTGAGGTGTTTTTCTTTTGTTTTCGTTGATACACGTTAGTGTTGGAAATCTTTATACACCAGACAGTAGCTGACAGGTTTTGTTGTCGTTTTCTTCTATCCTATAGATCATGGTGAGGGCGGCGGTTTGGATTTAAGTCATATTCAAACAATTCGTTCAGATACTAGTGGGGCTGAAGCTAGTCATGATGACACTGAGAAAGAGGTTAGTTTTTATTACTTCACCTTAATATTTATGTTCTGTATGCCCTGCATTTTTGAATGATGTGTTATTGGTCATATGGTAGTTAGTTCACTTTATTCGTTTCCTGTTACTGTTCGGTTCATAATTTCGCATTTATACACTAACACTTATTGCATTGTGAATTTCTGTGTTTTTTTAATTGAAATTTTAGACTAAGAAAGATGATAATGTAACGGAAAAGAAAAAGAAGCGTCGATTCAAAATGCCTTCATTTGCTAGGAAATCCAAGACAAAAGAGGTGAAAGACAAGAAATAAATTTAATTTCTTCTCAGTACATATACTACTTCCTCATATATAAGTAGACATATTAATAAATCCTGTTTTTTCTCTCGGATGGTTGAAATATCTGAATTAATCTACTACGACTACTACTACTGCTACTACAGGCGTTAAACCTATCTTTTGCTTTGATATATCTGTCCACAACAAATCACCCTGTTCAGCTTTTTGTTACCCCTTTTTTATTATTCTTATTATTCCTACTCACCTGCTTATGAATGATTGATCCATGTTTTTACATCGAATATGCTTTTCACGTTATCTGCTTGTGATATATGTGTAGTCAGTCTTGACTTATTCGATTATAATTTCACCCTCAAGGAAAATATATAATATACTACTCTGTCTTCTTCTTTTGTGCTTGTAATATTGATATTAGTGGGAAGTGGTTGCATCAAATATGCTGTGGCGTTGTTGTTTGTTTTCCTTTTTGAATTATAATTTCGAGACACACTTTGATGTTGTTTGAGATAAAATTAATCAGAGTCATTTCTTGCTGATCATCTCTGTCGAATATTGATCTGTTTGTTGTTTTTGCTTTTTATTCTGTCCTTTGTTCTCTTGAAGAATTTGCATAATTTGTTTCTGAAACAAGCACGATAATAAATTCTGATTGGCACAGTTCTTGTTATTATCATCATCAGCATAACTGTGTGTATGTGTTTCGGGGGGTGGGTGGGGGAAGACACGCTGAAGCTTCTTTTTCTTACTGTGATCTGATTAAACTGCACAGTTTGATTGTTCATTTTTATTTTCGATTGAAAAGTTCCATTTAATTTTCCACACTTCTTGTTGTTGAGCTTTTCAGGCTTGTTTCTTTTTTGGTTTAATCTCAAGAACTTTAATAAAATGTGACATTTATTCCAGTTTGATAGAATGGAATAAGATCATGTGTTAACCTGTACTGAATATAACATATGATTGGTTTGTACTGAAGGTATACTTTCTGTTGAAATGTTAGGACTTCAGTTTTTTTTGGCTAATTCAAAATGTATCCAAGACATTGTTTATATCGTCTTTGGGTCGAGTTTTGCATTACAGAGCTGAGACTCGTTTAGAAATCTTCTTGTAATAAGAGTCGTATAGAAAAAATTTATTATGTTATTATTATTGTCATCCCTTAGTTCCTAGAGGGACATATGGCTTCAGCTGCACGTCTCCATCGCGTTCGGTTCTCCGCCAACGTTTTAACCTGGCTCCACGGTCTGCCCACATGCTTTCATCTCCTCTTCACATGACCTCCTTCATGTCACCCACCCTCACACTAACAACCAACTCGCCGCTTCCCATTTGAGTTTTACTCGAGGCAGGGCCTGTCGTGTTATGTCACTTGGTGGTTTTCTCAGAGTATGGCCAATACACTTCCATTTCTCGCTGCATATTTTCTGCACAATCGGTTTCTGGCTGGTTCGCTCCCAGAGATCCCTGTTGCTGGTCTTTTCTGGCCATCCGATCTGGAATATTGAGCGAAGACAACTGTTGGTGAGGGTCTGTAATTTGCTCGAAGTGTCCTTCGTGACGCCCCAAGTCTCTGATCCGTATAGCAAATAGCACTGACTTCACATTGGAGTTGAAAATCCGGATCTTATATTTCATGCTGTGTGCCATTGGTCTCCACAAAGACTTGAGAATAAGGGAAGCTTGCCCTGCTTTCTCGATCCTCGCTTTGATATCCTTGTCAGTTCTGCCTGTAGTTGAAATGATTCTTCCCAGGTATGTGAAGGAGGTTGTTTCTTTCAGGCTCCTCCCATTTATGCTGGCTGATTGTTGTCTGTTGTTGCTGTTGGTGTTGGCCAGAAATCTCCACCACCTCTTTTTTCTATGTTCACCTGAAATTCTGTCTTCTCTGGATGCTTCTTCTGCCAAATTGTTGCTTTTAACTAGCATATCTTCCAGTTTGTGGGAAGTCAGACATATATCATCGACGATCCAGATTCAGATCCTCCAAGTTTTTTGTGTGAGTCCATTTTATGTCTGTTTCCTCATTGCCCGTTGTCTGTCGCATTATCCAATCTACTGCAATCAGGGAAATCATTGGCGATAGTAGGCAGCCTTGCCTCACTCCCGTCCTCACTTCGAAGGCTTCCGTAAGTTTCCCGTTGTGGATTACTTGGCATGCAGTGCAGCATTGTCGTATAACTGTTGGATGAGATGTATAATTGTTGGTGGGACCCCGTAGTAGCGAAGTAGTTTCCAAATGACCTCTCGATCGACGCTGTCGAAGGCCTTTTCAAAGTCGATGAAGTTGAGATAGAGAGGTGACAGCCATTCCAAGCTTAGTTCAATGATGATTCGTAGAGTGGCGATGTGATCACTACATGACTTGTTTCTCCTGAATCCAGCTTGTTCCGGTCGAAGTTTTTCATCCAGGTTGGCTTGTTTGATTTTCTCCATGATGATGCGGCTTAGTATTTTGCTTGGGATGTACAGGAGCATAATTCCACTCCATTTCTTCCATTGATTTAAGTCTGCTTTATTTGTCATTTTGAATAGTTGGCCTTTCCTCCAATCAACAGGTTCCTTGCCCTCTTGCTTTATTCACGTGCTGAATACTCTTGATCAACTTAGAGATATAGTAAATACCAATTAAGTCATTTTAGTGTGATGCTTGTGAACTAGTTTATACATATTGGAAATGGGAAAAATTTAATTGCCAACCATTGATGTACATGGGTTTCAGGATTTAATTTAGCTATAAGCGTCTATAGAAATACAGTTACTGATATTACTCAGTTATATTACACACTGGAAATCAAATCAAACAATCAGTATGTCGCCCTCATTTATTTGCATTTACCTTCGGACTTAAGAAGTATCCTTACTCTAATGCACTTACAGAAATAGTTAGCCCCTCCCACCTCGTCACTGATTAACTATAACGTCGAAGCGCAGTTGCACTACCCCACAATTATGAAATCATTAGATGCTCGGTTTCATTGTGGTGTTAATGTGGTTATCGCATAACGGATATTATAGAAGAGATGCCTTAAAGGTATGCAGAAGGCAAATGCAAAGTATTCGGAATATTATAAGCGGCTGTTTACTTTTTAAAGATGTCATCTTTTAAGTGTAAATTTATACATATTTATATATATGGCATGCGTCATACTTTGTGTAACTATAGGGAATAAATGAAATAATTGTATAAGCTCTTCGATTAGCTTTGTTATTTAAGTTACCGAAGAATTATCACGTGGAAGAGGAACGCTTGCTGAGCATTCCTGGAATGAAACCATTTATGCTACAAGGCAAGGTAGCCAGTTGCGTATTAATTGTCGAACTATCCGCCCAGCTGTGTCCTACTGTGTGGCTATGAAGCATGGATATGCAAATTAGGGTACTTCAGGTAGTTGACCATTGTCGTCTTCGTAGTATTCCATATATCTCATGAAAGTAACAGGCGAGCAATGAAATAGTATATACAGAGTTCTAAGTATGATAAGTAACGCAGGTGAAGGAGCTGTAGATGTCCATCACTTGATATAGCTTGAAAATGAATTTGCAGATACCTATACACCCTCTATGTCGGTGGAAGTAAGGTGAATTTGAAAGAAAGCAAAGGATGATCAAAGTAACACTTGACTTCAACCCATTGAATAGTAAATTGCTTGGATAGTGTTCACATGATCAATACAATTTTGTGGCCAGCAACATTAGATCCCATGTCTTAGAATCAATCTCTGTGGCGCAGATGTACTCATGTTTTTACTTATTCTTTACTCATGTCTTGCATTTTCTGTTTGTATCTGATAGTTTTAGATCTTAACTCTATTATTTCCACGTTTCCCTACCTTTCCTTTCCCTTCTATATTTGATGTTCAGGTATCAAATGTTACAAATTGAGCTGCTCTGTAATTATGTTGGGTTTTTTGTTGATACCCGACCGATAGCTGCTACCTCGATGTGGTGGTTGGGCTTGCATATCGCACTGACTCAACAAGCTACATTGGCTGGAACTATTGTTGCTGCAGGCTCTATCATGCCAGGAAGGTTGTTAGGATAGCGATTAGACTGAAAGCAGTTACTGGCATTGTGTATTCTGGGGGTCTGTGGGCGAAGTCGTACTACTAGGAAATAGGGATGCAACAGCAGTTAGGTGTTTCCCTCAGATGACCAGCATGTCGGCCGACTATGCTGCTCCTCCACTCTGGAGGGAGGGGGTTAGAAAACGCTGACCCGAACAATTGTACATCCCGACTTACCTTATGTTGGTCCGTAACCGGCGTTAAGTTTACTAATAAGGAACCAATCCAAGGAAACAGTTCATACAGGTCGTGTGTGACTGGCCTCAGGCAGTTATCCTCTGGGCTCTACGGACACGCAACACTAACCTTCTCTCTGTTTTAGGTACCCAGAGACTCAATCAAATTCTACGGTGTGGGCAGTCGGGAAGTCACAACCGCCCACACACTTCCAAAAGCACTTGAAGTCTTTCTGAGCATCATTCTCACTTACCCACTTTTTGTTGATAGTGTATGTCTTCTAATGCTTATTTAATAAGCAACGGTATACTCATAATCGCATGAGTCAGTGGTCCAAGTAGTTATTTTATTCTCTATGTAAAGCAGTATATAATTGATAATTTTATAAAATTATCCGAGATGACTTCGGTTTAGCAGAATAACATTTTAATAAAGGCTTTTTGTATTTCCCAATGAATGAAAAACAAGACGACTTTGTTTCGATTGACGTTTCTCTATTTAATGCTAATAGCTTTATCAAAGTATTATTAGACCAGAATTTACAAAATCCTCAGCCTATGCATAACTTAATTATCATTCATCATCAGGGAGTAACTTTTACGTTGTCGAGCTGGCCAATCGGTAAAGATAACAAAACCAGGTGTGGATTGTTGGATTTGATAAGTGTATACAATTATAAAAGCAGCATGTGTTTAAATAATGAAATTGCTTATCACATTCGTGTTGATTTTTTCACTTCATAGGGGAGGGACGTGTTGTAGCCAGGTCAGATTCTGTTATAGTCCATCATTCCTATCCAGAAAATTTGGATTCCACTTGATATGAAGTGCTCTGGATATTAGATCTCCTCTGTGATTTCTGAAATCTTTCTAGATGACGATCTCAATATTGTCAAAATCAATTTTGTGACCTGACTGATTCTATAGCGTAGCGTATGAACGACCTATGGCTGATGATTTTTCAAGTTTTTCTAGTTCAACTGGATTTCTCGGTGGTCGAACAGATGCTCTACTGTGTTCATTTCTTCTGATTTTGATTTCTCGTGATCTTTGTCCGATGTGTATCGCATCACATTCCAAGCACTTTATTTTGTAGACACAATTAGATTGAGAATCCTTAGGGGTTTGGTCTTTCATGTGGACAAGATTACTTTGTAGTGTGATGTTTTGAAGAAAACTCTGATGTCGAGCTTATTGAGTATTCTTCTGATATCGTCTGATGTCTCTAATTTTTATGGAATGGCAGCAGTTGAGGCCCATTTCGTTTTCGACCATATTTAATGTCTGTTGATGAAGTTGTTTGGGTAGTTATTTTGCTTGAGAGTCTCAGTAATGCTTGATATTTCTTTCTATTTCAAAGAGTGTGCTCACCTTTGAAACAACTGATACCTTTACGCTGATATGGTGTGATGATCCG